TTAAACCTTATATATAGTTAGTATAGTAATAAATAACGAAATACTTGCTTCTGAGTGAAGTTCTTGAGAATGTTGATACCTCTTGATTATTTTGCACAATAGTTAATGTCGGCCTATGAGATTACCCGTATAAATAAATTTTTTAAATTGTCTAACCATAAATTGTATAAATCTTATTGGCTGACTTTTTAATAGATATGTGTAACGAACAATAATATACTTTGACGCGTTAGCCAAATAGATAGATGTTTAAACGCGGCTTGAAAGGTTTTTATAAAAAAAATTTTTTTGTATATGACAACAGTAACAGAATTTTTTTTATACTCTCTTACAATATAATGTAAACTTTAGCTATATATCATGCCACCAAAATAATATATACGTTCTGCAACAGAATTTTTTACTATAACTCAAATATAGACTAATTCACCTTTGACCACTTGCTGTAGAACTTTAAATTATGACTATTGAGTAAGTTTTGTAGCAAAATTTTCGATACTAACTTAAAAAATCCCGTTACAAACTAGCAAGTGCTATATCAGAACTTTTTATATTAGCTCACAGAGAACTACACTACCAATTAACTCATCTCTATCTAAATACTATACATCGCTGGAATAGCGAGTAAGTTCTTCAACAAAATTTTTTACACTAATTCCATATTAATCTTCCTAACTCTTCACTACAAACAATAATATCGAATATGTATAGTATTGGAATTTTTCATTGTGTAAACTATAATAATTCCATGTACATACTGTTAACAAACCTACGAGTAAGTTCTAAAACAGATTTTTTTTCATTATATTACACTAGAAATCCAATGAAACCAGCCTATGCTTTGTTACCTGAATAATGTGTAAGTACTTTAACAAATTGTCATCGTAATTCTTAAATCACATACTTCTAATGCAAACTAACCATACCTTAACCCACAGAATTTTCTACATCTAATACAATCATGATAATCCATCTCTTACTTACGTACGTACGTATCGTATATACTGAATTGATGAGTGAGTTCGGTAATAGAATTTTTTTTATGATAACTTATGTTAAACATAATTATAATTTCAATGTAAACTAACTTATTCTTACCGGTACCTATTTACTATATGTCTCCGAATTGCGATGAGTCCTATACCGGAATTTTTCATAAGAAAACTTTTATGTGATTGGCAGTTTAAATCAATTTAATTTTACATTATTTATGCAGTTTAAAATACTTTTTAAAAAAATAAAGCTACAAAGAATAAACAAAAAAGAAGCATATAGAAAGTTTTATTAGGGCTGTAAGACTCCACTATTAAAAATAATTAAATTCTCTTTTTGTTTTAGAGAAATTAGCATAATAGCGACTTTTTATAGATAGAATTTATTACCATGCTAACTTCTCTAAAACAAAAAAGGATTTTGATTATTTTTAATAGTGGAGTCCTACAGCCCTAATAAAACTTTCTATATGCTTCTTTTTTGTTTATTCTTCGTAGCTTTATTTTTTTTAAAAAGTACTTTAAACTGTATAAATAATGATTGATTTAAACTGCCAATTACAGAATTTCACCTTATCTTTTTCCATATTTTCCATATACTATACATCACCGTAATAGCGAGTAGGTTTTTTCATATTAATTAATGATAACAATCATGATAATTACAGATTTTTCTACAGTACAAATAATAATAATCTGATGCAAACTATCACTACGTCCTGTGCGCTATTGGAATACAGAGTAAGTTCGTTAATCAAATTTTTTATTTAAATTCTACGATGATTACCCATGTTGATCATCTTTTTTTTTTAGTTTTAGCCCGTGTACACATTATACTAACCCTTTTTTTTAGATTTATGGGTAGCGAGTCATATTGGTGTCGTTGTTCCTGGAATTGCCGTTACGTTGTCTCCATTACCGGTGACTCCACTCTTAGAGCTTTCATCGTCGTTACTGGCGTTGTCGTTTCTAGAGCTGCAAGTATTGCTGTTAGTGCCACAGCTACTTTTGTTGTTTTTGGTATCTTCGTTACTGGAGTTTTGTTTGTTAGTCTTCGTTAGCGTGATCTCATCGATTTCGGTGGTGTTATTTGTGTCAAAAATGTATAACATTATGTATAACATTGTTTGTAGGTACCTTACTTTTATCGAGTTACCTGCTTAAACTACTCGCGGCTTCCTTACGGCCCTACTTGATATGTTAGATTTAGCATGCTTACTTCGAGAACTGTTTCGGTTATTGCTGGAGTTTCGTGTTTTTTGATTTCATGTTAGTTCCAGGCGGTAGGTTCGGTGAGTTTTCGTTTCTTTGGTATTATGCGTGGATTTTTTTTTTGGTTTCATGAGATTCGTGGTATGTTGTTGCTGATGGTTGGTTGTGAATTCTGCATTTTAGGTATCAATCTCGGTGTCGTCTTTAGTTTCGTTGCGTCGCTTTTCGGTTGGTTTCGTTTCGTCGCTTTCGGTGTTTTTTTTAAGGTTCTTTACTCTATTGTCGTCGGTTTCGTGACATTGGTGTCGTTTAATTTGTCGGGTTTTGTAGCACCTTTTTTTTAGTTATTGGATTCGTTACGCAATGGTGCTTTGCAGTTAGATTTAGTAGTTAGTATTAGAATTCGTTTTAGTAATTAGTTAGGGCTAGGGTTTAGAGTTAGTATCAGAATTCGTTTTAGTAGTTAGTTAGAGTTAGGGTTTAGTGGTTAGCGTTAGAATTCGTTTTAGTAGTTAGTTAGTAGGGATGGATCGGTCTTCGTAAAAGACCGATTTTTGGTCCTCAGTCCTGATTATGATCTGACAATTACTAATACTTATTAATTGAATAAAAATTTGGCCCCTAATAAATAAAAATTTAACTGTTAATTAATAACCAAATTTTAATGTTATTATTATGTAGACCAATTCTGGAACCGAAGACAGACTGACCGGACCGAAAAAACATTATAAAATCGGTCCAATAGGAACTGGGACCGACCGAGACGGACTGATCCATCCCTATTACAGCTGTTTTCATAAATTCTGGGACACTCTAAAAAAATTTGCCGAAGTCTATTCGGTCGAATTCGATAAGCTATTTATCTCGGTGCTATATAAATGCATAATACACATATGTATTTGTTACTAAGATTTTTCAAACATATTCGTTGGAAAATTAGTTAAAAGAACTTAGAAGACTTAAGTTAGAGTAATTGCTAAACGTTTGGGTATTAGCAGGTCTTCTGTGGGTCGAGTTCTCAAACAATTTCAAAGGTATGACTGTGTTTATGAATTGCCATCACTTTAAATAAACATTATACATATTTTATTATAATTATTAAGACATTGTCAACAAATATTAATAAAATCTTGACCTCTGATTTCAACTTGTGTTGCATTTCTTTACAACCCCTATCGTATTTAAACTCTTTTTTTGTTAGTGCCTATTCGTGTAATAGGCAAATTTTCAAATTTATTTTTTATTTTTGTATAGATACAGTATATTTGAATAAACAAGTTTGCTATACTATAAGTTACCAAAAATAATTAAAGATTCACAAAACGAACTTGAAGTTTATATGTTTATTAAAAAAGTCCAACTTATGTTCAAACCTTTTTTAGTTAATTGGCAAGAACAGTTTTTGATATAAATTTTTGTATTATACATATTGGATATAGAATTAAAATAAAAAACTTTGATCGAATTTGATCAGTAAGCTCACGTTCGAAGTTTAAATATCTATAAAATAAAAACTGCCAAATTTCCTTCTTAACTTTTAATGAATTTCTCAACAACTATACATACAAATTCAGTAAAAAAATTTATTTTAATTCTATAGATTCATAGGATTAAAATAAAAAAAAAATTTATCGAATTTTGATAGATAGGTGGCAAGAAACCTTCGTTCAAAGATTAAAAGAGCAAAATTTACCTGATTTTAGTTTTTCTCTAGGATTTTTTGAACTTTTACTGAATATTTCTCGACATCTATTAAACCAAATTCATTAAACTTTTTTTATTTTAACACTAAATATATAGGATTAAAATAAAAATTTTTTACAGTAATCATTAAAAATTATAAAAATTTTAAGTCTTAAAAAATAAAGCTTATGATTTGATTGGTTATGTTTAAGTAAATATTCAAAAAACTGGGCACAGATTCAAAAATTGCTTAGTTAGGGTTTAAAATTAGTTTTAGTAGTTAGGTTTAGGGTTTAGCAATTAGTATTAGAATTTGGATATAAAATATTATATATGTTTTATTAGCTGATTATATATCATGACTGATAACAAAGATATTATGTAATAGGGAGCAACAAAAAATAAATTTATAATATTTTACTAAAATTATATTATAAAAATAATTAAATTAATTATAAAATTTAAAAAATTTTATTTATATACTATATAATGTTTTTATAAATTTAACTAACTTATAAAAATAAGCTATTAATTATATAATTGATTTTTTAAACTTATAAATTTAATTATTAATATTAAAATTTTTTATATACTATATATTACTAAACACTAAATTTAAAATCTAGAAATTATTTATTTTTTTTAATTTTTGAAGTAAATAACTATATACAGTATATATATATTCCTGTGCATTATTGCACGGGTTTACAACTAGTATTATTCTAAAATTTATGTTCCTTTTTGCTCCAAGTTTTAATCTATGTTTCTATAGTGATAGAGAGAGAGAGAGAATATATTTATTATTTTTATTATAGGAACATTAAAAATTCTTTGGGAACATAAATTTAATAACTTACGTTTCCAAAAGACAAAAAAAAAATATCAAATCTTTTTTACTGCCTAGAGGGCTTACTAACATCTAGATCTAGCGAGGGAAATAGATATCAGCTAATAGTGTAGGGTGAAAGAAAGATAGGGATGTTAAAAGTTCGGTTTGAGTCAGTCTTTTGAGTTGACTTGAACCAAACTTTTTTGAGTTGACTCTAGACTTGAAAATCCTTTTAAAACCGAGTTCCAATAGTCATATGCAGAATACTATTGGTAATATTATATATTGTCATATGAAATAACAAGTCAGTCCCGAGTTTGATGTCAAATTTAAAACTCAACTTTTGGAGTCGAGTTGGACCAAACCAAACTCTAAAGAGAGGTAACCAAGTGAGCTCAAACTATATAAGTGCTGCCAAGACTTCAGATAAATATACAGTCATATGCCTTGACCACTAATCCCATGGGTCTAAAAATTTTTTTTAAATATCATTTGAATAAATGAAATTGAAAACTCAAAAATTTTTTTTAAATATCATTTGAATGAAATCGAGAATACAAACATTTTTGATAGGTCAGCGGTTATTTCCCTAAATTTGTTGAACACATCCCCAAAATTCTATGATTGGTCATAAAAAATTCTTTTAAAATTTAGAGGTTTTTTAAAACTTTAAGCCAATATTTATCAATAAATACTTAACTAATTTCAACAAATTTTTTTTATTTTAATTCTATGAGTTAATAGAATTTAAAAAAAAACTTTTATCAAATTTAGTTAGATAGTTGTTGAAAAAGCTTCGCTTAAAGTTTGAAAAAAATAGTAAAATCAAAATCAAAGCTGTAGTAAAATTTCTTTTTTTCAACTTTAAACAAAGATTTCTCAACAATTATCTAACTAAATTTATGAAATTTTAATTCTATGTGTTTGTAGAATCGAAATAAAAATAAAGTTATCGAATTTTTGTTATGTAGTCACTGAGAAATATTTATTTATTGTTATTAAAAAAAATTTGTTGCAGCTTCTTTTTTATAGGTAAAAACGTTAAGCAAAGTTTTCTCGGTGATTTAACCAAATTCTATGAATTTTTTTTAGTTTAAATTTGCAATCCTATATAATTAAAATAAAAAAGTTTTCATCGAGAGAAAACTTTGTTTAACGTTTTAGTGCCAAGCTGCAGCAAATTTTTTTTAACAATAAATAAATCGTTAGTTGAAAAACCAACTAGTTTAGCGTAACAATATCACGCAGCTACTTTATTTATATAAATCACCAATTAGTGATGTAAGCGAATTTAGATTCAATTTTCTTGTAGTATTGACGTAAGTTGTAAACCGTAACTCTGATCTATCATGTCTTAATGATATGACATAAAATAAATCATATGGGCGAAAATTTTAATTAATATAATGTGATTATTAAATTCGAACCACTAAAATCAAAAATTCTGCCCATATGTGAGTTGTTTTTTTGTTACTTTACTCATGAAACAGCGTATAAAACTGATAAATAACTCATAAGTAATTTTTACAATCAAATCTTAGTAATTATATTATATCATATATATTATTGGAATTCTATGTAATCTCATCATTCAACTTATCTAATCACAAAAATTGATTTCCACCCATATGTATATTTAATTGAAACAATTTAGTTAAAACTCTATCGCTATATAATTTACTACAACTTATGATATTTTTATGACTACGCATTACGACAATACATCTTTGTACTACAACAGATTGCAATATTATTAATATAATTGAGGTAGCAACGCCACAAATATCCACATCTCTATCGCATTTCCCATGACACCCGAAAAATTTTTCGCTATTTTTCCTTGTGACTTTTGGTCACTTGAGAAATTCATCGCTTTTTCTTTCGGCATCGACAAATCTGCCGAAATACAAGCAATTAATCAAAATTTTTATAATTGCTTGCAAAATATAAACGATGATACGAATGCTTCGCAAGAAGCTCGTGACCATGCTAGAAAGCTGTTGGATGAAAAGAAGGTTAGTTGATTTAGATGAGATGGATAAATGTCTACTAAACCTAGAGGATGAATCATTTATGTATCTTTCTTTATATATAATAACGAAGAAACTGCCTTTCTACATCTGAACTATTCGGTTCTTAATTTTATCTGATTCTATTATCTGTGAAATATTTTCTCACTTGATTTTTTTATTCTAACAAAGACCGATTGTGAAAGAATAAAACAAATCTGGGCTGAAACATTGTAGTGGCTCATGACGATACTATCAGGTATGTACGGTGCAGAAAACCTAAAGATTTCAATCACTTTATATAAAATAAAGGTTAATTAACTCATTGAAGATAAACTAAATTTGTCATTCTCAATAGCATTTTTGCTTATTGTTTTTATGCAAGGAAATTCTCTTTGCTTATTGAGACAATAATTTAATAAGTTTATGCATCATCTCTATATAGAATATTGAGGTTTTTAAATTTCCTGCACCGTACGTACACTCCCTTGACAAAAGTCACCGGCTGTCGATCATTTTTAGTAATGATTAGCAAGCGAAAGGATTCGTTGAAAATCCGTTTGTTCGTAATTGTTAGAAGATAGATTGTTAATACCTATATGGTTAG